GTGTTAATTCTTGACATCTAACACTAAATGTTTGGAGTCATCTCCTTTGAGGAGGATCAACCTAAAACAATGCAAAATCCTCAACAGATTCTTATATTATATTTAGTTTTGCGATCCTGTGTGTTGATTTCTAATACTTACTTGGTGTTAATCTTTTGATGGTAACTCCAATTCACATTTGATGTATAAGGGCCTCTCTCATGTACTCTTTATTTGTAGGGTGGGCATGGTAAAACTTCTCCATGTAGTGTAGCTTTCTTCTTGGAAGCTCATATTGAACAACGTACAAGGTGAACGCGTAGAAAATTAATTAACGTCATTTCACAGTTGGTGTATTCTGTAATGGAAGCATGCTTCTTAATTAAAATTCATCTCCCTTACTGAGAGTCGTCGCTTAAATTGAAACGAACAAGGTTATATAAGAATTACGGCAGCGGTGTTATATAGCAAGCAATAAGAATACTAAACTCTGTTAAAAGGCGTTTAATTGGAAGCTGAACTGTTGTAGGTTCTTCTAAACAAAGTTTAAGCATATATACTTACTTCCGGTGATCGCCGTTTATGCGTATTCATTGATGATCTTCGTCTCGAAGTGACATTTTTGTGATAATCTGCGACGTTGACAATAATAAATCGGGCGTGAATCTAGTAAAACTTGTCTGTATCCTTTTTTTTGTAAGCAAACAAACTGTTCTAAGTAAAAGAGCTGTTAGCAAGTACAAAATGAATCTGTAGCGTACAAAAAAACAACACAAAATACGGTTCTGACTATCTGACATTGACGGATCCGTCAGAATAATGTGTCCTGTGCCGATATGGGGAATTTTGGGATATTACTAGATAATCAGCTGACATTCTACCGTGATGGATACTCGTTAAATACACTCTATTAGTCAGAGCCGTTTTTTTTCTTTTGTTTTTTTGTACGCTACAGATTTATTTTGTACTTGCTAACAGCTCTTTTATTTAGAAAAGTTCATTTGCATACAAAAAACAAAACGCTACATGCAAGTTTTACTAAATTTACACCCGATTCATTATTGTCAACTTCGCATACTAACACAAAAATGTCACTTGCTGATCAGCTGTTCACCTCAAAGCGTGATGGATACTCGTGAAATTGGATATACCCGGCAATTATAAAAGCAATATGGTTGAGCACACTAAAAATAAGAAATTTCATTCAGTTTTTCCAAATATGGAAGAAAATATTTTGGTCGAGTGATGTATCTGTGAAAAAAAGTTCCGTAATTTATGACGCCCAAAGGCCTATCCATACTCAGCCGTGACGTGACAGTAGTGCTGTGACCGGCACGTGATCCGCCACGCGAAACTAAAAACATTATTCCTGGAATTTCTATGAACTGATTCAGACTAGACCGGCACGTGGAAGTGGCCGTGTTCTCAGTACCCTCGACCCTCGACGACGCCGTACCGTGATCATCGCATTGTTTTGGAACGATATTTTTTTATTTCCACGGCCGTGTTTTCATGTAATTTCTTGAATGTTTTGATATATTTGATCAAAAACATGAATGACGAAAAACTAATTGAATTGCGTGCACATCTTGTGTTGTAGAACCAGTCAAATTCAAAATACATGGACTTCCGTTTTCTTCTCGTTTCTTCTTCTTCAAATTTTGTCATTTCGACCTCACGTGAACACAACTGCACTGTCAGAGCACGGAGAAAAATACTGACCGGTGTGAATTGAAAACACTGTGAGCTCACGTCAGCGAGAATCACTGGCACGTCACGGCACTGTAACGTCACGGCTGAGTGTGAATAGTCCTTAAAATCGAACAGGTAAGTTAACTTTCCCGGTATCCTAATTCGTAAATTTTTTATCAATTTCTAATTGCCCAATACAAGCACAGGTCAAATAATAAAATATAGTTAGAAGAAGTAGTAAGGAAGCACGCGTTGCTGCTTACGATTGATTGGTAACGGTCTTGAAAATATTGACTTGACGATGCTGATTGAAATCAGTGGATTGTGATGTACCTTATTTTATAACTGTTCCTAATGTATTCAAAGTTTGTATATACTCGTATAAGTAATAGATGTCTAAACTTCATCCAATTACTCAGAAATAATTCCTAGAGGCGTTGCATATACAAGCGATATAACCGAATTATTATGTACATTGTCTGCTTTGTTTAGAGTGCATAGATGAATATCAATTTATTAAAATTTTAAACGCATATAACATACAATGATACATTTTCCATTATTATATACAATGCGCCCATACCTGCGTACTTTAACTAAGAATGTGAAATCTTGTGGCTGCAGATAATAACAGACAATGCCCCAAGCCTTTGATTAAATAAACCCTTTTCCGTAGTTTGAGCTTTTGTTACTGTTTGTTAGCTTCTCTGTAAAATGGAACAAACGTACGGCATTTAAGTAAACTTAGTTAAGGTCAGATTTATGCAGGTGAATGTCAAAAAACTGACTGTATAACGGTGTAAAAACTTACTGCGAAAAATGTAGAAGAGTTGAGGGCTTTAAATTTGGATCTTTGAACAATGTTCGAGTTAAACACGTTCGCAAAGGTTGATGCGCCAGCTAAAGGAAAGAGTCTTGTTAAGTCCAGGCGTCGGGCATTGTTTATTATTGCAGAATCTCCAGTAATTCACATCTTCAGTTTCAGTTAGTCTGCCTCTACTTCCTCAATGTAACCATTCAGATTTTTTGTAATAAAGATTGCTAGTAGTATTGATGGGTATTTTTGCAATTTCTTGTTAGTATTAATAACAGAGCGTTCAAGTAGAAAACTTCATCAAGTTAACTCATAAAAATTCGTTGAACTCATTCTCACCATACTGATACTACTTTAGTGAAGTTAGATGAAAATACAGAAAGCCGTTATAGCAATTTCTTTCATAAACGATTTCAGATTTTCTAACAGTTGTATACGTTTCGTTTAAAAAGTTGTAGATAGTAAAACTCAAACTATTATTACTCTATATTACAATTTTTCATGTGCATCACTTTCGGAAAAAGTGCAGGTGACTTTTTTATCAAAAATAAGGGAAAGAACTTAAATACAGATTGTTGGAGCTGGAAGACACCTGTATGGTTGAATATAAAAATAAGGGTTTTACTGAGCTGGTACAAGCACGCCTTCAATGACACGGTTCAATGAACTCATACAAATTCTGAGTTGGGTTTAAGGAGCTTTAACTTTTGACCGCTTCAACTCTTCGTTTCCGACTGCTAATAAAAAAACAGCTAACAAGATATATTTTACTTTTCGTAAGCAAAAAAAGTATTGCAAATTTGCATCACTCAAAATAACCGCCTGGTCACACTTTGACTGAAACTAGGCAGTAATATAAGAGTCTACAACTTCGACTCTTAATTTTTCTCTACATATTTTGAGATATGGAGCGATATGCGTTTAAAAGATGAAGACCAAATGCAGATAGCCGTCAGGTGAAAAGCCTAGTAAGCTCGAAGAATACTCTTCAATTAATTGGCTTATTCATAGGGATGACTGTATGATTAGTTTTGCAGTATTAGCTGCAGAACCCAGAGGGAAACCAAAAGGTTATATTTGAGCGGAATTAACAGTAAGACCAACTCAAAAAAACATATGTAGTAGTAAGCTTATATCTGAATTATATCAACTGAGTTCCATTTTACTACATCTCCATACCCTTTATGCTTGTAGTTCTGTAAATTGACATAGGAAATTTCTCCATAATAACCGAATCGATAAATCGCATACAGCCTGTTCACGTATATCTGAATTATATCAACCACATCGTGGAACCGAGTTCTTTTATACCGCATCTCCAATTTCCTAATGGTTGTAGTTCTGTAAGCTGACATAGGAAATTTGTCCTTAATAATAGAATCGATAAATAGCATACAGCTGTTCACTCTTTAAATGATATCAAACTACACTGATAGTATCTAGCTCAGCATAATGAGCATACGGAACCTACATGGAATTTTTCGTTAAGTGGACACTAAATATTCAGAGCACATCTAGAGAAAATGGGGAATAACTATCTTACGCAGTGCGGACAGACAGAATAAACTTGAAATTGTGTTAGTTTTGGCCTTTACCATGCGTTAAGATGATCCCATCTTGAACAGTGGGGTGCCAATTAGACAGACATAGGCACATACAGGGTTTTATGTATTTCAGAAAATTAGGATGTGGGGTTGGGGATATTACTCTTAGTTTGATGACCGAGCTGCAACTTTTAGAACGCTATATCCTTGCAACACAAAAGCAGCGTCAGTCATCCACATTCACTTTCTTATATCGAAAGATGATAATAAACGAATCTACCCCCGTGCATGCAATGCAGAATTGAGAGGATTATGGCATATAATAGTCGCCAAACTCGAAGGAAATGGCACCTAGTACGAGGGAAATCTTTGGGTGGGAGAGGGGAAGGTTTTCAGCCTTTGAGAGAGGGGCCCGTATCGTTAGTCGTCCCTACAATTGTAGGGCGCCTTTATGGCCTCCTTGATTGTCATAGTTTTCTACTTCTCCGTGTCAGAACTCTATTTTGAGGTTATGTCACAAACATCTATTTGCATCAAATTGTGCTTGCTTTTGAGTTATATCATGTTTTATCCGCCTGAAATTTCCTACAATTTAAAAAGAAAACATATCTTCACAATAGGAGAGCGCTGACGCTGACACAGGACAAGTGTAATCTAGAAATTTTTGAGGGAGAGAAAGGAGTATGACAATCAAGGAGGCCATAAACGCGCCCTACAATAGGCTATTTGACAGTATTGAAAATAAGTTGCGAATTGTGGTGATCCTATTAGATAATAGAATAAGAAAACACATAGTACTTTAATGTACACCTAAATATGTATATTTTTTGGGAAATAATCAAATAAAAATCAGCTATTTTTAAAAATTCGATGGGTCACAGAAACGCCCTGCGATTGGCTGCGACTCTGGTGACGTCACATGCAAGTAAACAAACATCGCGTTGTACGTTTTTGCTGGCTTTCTGTGAGATATTCTATCATAATTCTATTTCGTAAACAGATTTTTATGACTTTCTTGATCAATCTTTCAACTATTGGCATCATTATTCGTTGTGGACTTCAAAATGGACCTAAATTTTGTGCAAGCTGATAACAGCAATCTACCTAAGGTTGACGCATTAATGGTAGCATTTTTCTTCAAAAATAATGCGGACTACTATGCTGCGGAACTCAAACATGTGAAAACAACAATGTAAGTAGTAATAGAAATTATTTATTTATACCTACTAACCTTTATGTATGATCATTAAAAGATTTGTAAAATCAATCTTATTTAAGGTTATGTTGATGTAATGAAAAACGCTTTCAGTTCAATATGATAATATGGTTCATATGTATATGGTTTCATGAATAAAACATACTTTCATGTTTTGCTTTTGTTTTACAGGTTTGGAAGGGAGTCCTACGGAGACGATGCAATTGGCTATGTGCAGCTGCACCGGGAGCATGGACTTTGCACACTTAGTGCAAAATGTGCCCAGAGCACAAAGTGAGATCAAAAGCTTATAATGTGACAATGGTTATCAACGAAAATGAAAGCGAGATAATAAGTTGTCAGTGCCATGACTGTGCTGCTTCAGCAGGAGGCTGCAAGCATGCAGTCGCTTTTTTGATGTGGGTACATCGGCGCAGTGAGGAACCTCCATCTACTTCGGTGGAATGTTATTGGAAAAAGCCAACATTGTCAAGAGTAGGGACTACTCTGAAGTACATCACGGTGTAGCAGATGTCGAAAAAGGAAGTACCGCATAGACCAAGTACATCAGCACTTTACACAGACTTTATTTTGGAAGCCAAAAAAAGAAAACTTCAACACTGTGAATTGATAAAATATCAGGACGATTTTAAACACTCAAATGTTATGCGGTATTCGCTGCACTGTTTCATAATGGACCAACCACCAAAAATTCAAGCAGACGTAGACAATCTTGTAGACATAATGAAGACAACATTCAACGGAGCTGCTATCAGTGCAATTGAAGAAGCAACAAGAATGCAGTACAAGAGCAGCTTGAGGTATGAGATGAGGTATGGCCGAATGACAGCTTCAAAGGCACATGAAGTGAGCGTATGTCATACACCTGATGGTTCATTGGTTGCTACTATAATGGGCGCAAAAATACCATACTATTGCAATGAAAAGAGGTAGAAGTTTGGAGCTATCTGTCCGGAAGACAGTTAGTACAACATTGAACAAAAAAATCAGAACATGTGGACTTTATGTATGCCAAGACAATCCCATGCATAGATGGTTTATTGAAAGATGCCATTGTTGAAATAAAATGCCCTACCAAAGCAAAAGCTAAGAACAATTATTTAAAAAATGGAATTATTTCAGAGAAATGTAAGGCACAGGTTCAATTACAGATGCATGCAACTGGTATGAAGAAATGTTATTTTTGTGTTGCTGAGAGCAACTTTGAAGAAACAAAAAATGCAGATATTCTAGTGAAGTACGAAAATGATTATGTCAACAACTTAATAAAAAACTTGTATATTTTTTGGAAAAAATATATATATCCTATTTTGTATCGTAGCACTAGTCTGTGATTATCAAATAAAAAACTATGCAGTGCATATTTCTTGTTTTATTATTATTTTATTCATGGTTTTACATCATTTATTTCTTTATTTATAGTAGTAGTAGTAGAAGTATTTATTCAGCCAAGTACAAAACACAAAGTTCAAATGGCATGTCACAAAAGAGGAGATTACATGATAATAATTAAGTATAAAGTATCATAACAGGCAAAAACCCATTATTTAATAAGAGAATCTTGCAAATTTATTAGAGCACATGCAATTATAATGACATGATCAAGTACACGACGTATGTTAGTATTTATCACTGAATGTTGCTTTAAAATATGAAATTCCCTCAAACGCCTTATTACCCTTTCAATATGAATCCGCAAACTAGCTATTATTTTAGTTTGTCGAACTTCAGTTTTTGACAACTTTGCACCAGCATTTACACTGGGTGGCCTTAATAGTTTTAGTCCCTTTTCATGAAGTATTTGTTCAAGGTGTTTGAAGCCTCTGTCAGCTAAGCAACAGGATCCTTGGGGTAATCCATCTAGATAGTTACAATTTTCTACTATTGTGGCATCGCTGGTTCTGCCCCCAAACCCATGCGAAACATAATTAACTAAACCATTAGGTGTGCAGGATACTAAATACTTCACAGTATTCCCCTTTTTGTACTCTGACCACGTCAATGACTGATGAAGAGCCTTTGATGGTTTTTGTATATCAATCTCTAAACAATCTATGATGCAACTGACATTATGATAGTTATGTCTAAATGAAATAGGAAGATTTTTTTTACCAATTTTTTATCTATTTTTACAATGAATGGTCTTAAAACACTAGCTATTATTGGTATATTTTGTAGAAACAATTTACCAGCATAAGATAATGATATTCCAAAATTATCCTCCAGTTCAGAAAATGTACTGTTCATTCTAATCTTTTTCAAGCATAGCAAAATGTGTTCTACTTTTATGCTTGTGTGTTTATGTAACAATTTGATTAAGAAATAACATTCTTTTGGAATACCAATATACATCATTGGTTTTTTAGAGATTGAACGCATAGTAATTTTGAGGCACTCTTATTTTTCAATATTCTCATTGGCATCTGTAACATTACTATCAGAGTCGGTAAGCCCTGATGATGATGATGCTGATTTAGTTACAAAAGGTGATAAATGACGACCACTTTCAATACAGGAAATATAACTATCTGACTTTTCATCTTCAAGAAAAACATTCTCTTGACTGCTTTGACAATTTCAGACTGTGATGGTCGAAGACTGCATGGTTTAGTCTTAAAGGGCGAAGTGGAACGAGATGTTGTAGAAACTTTCATTGGTGAGGTAGAAATACTTGTAGTCTGGGATCTTGTTTGCACAGATTTGCTCCTATGATGCACATTCTCTTTTATTGTTACTTGCACAGATTTTTCTGCAGTTATGATAGAGTTGGTAATAGTTTCTCTGTCTTGAGTTCTTGATAAACCTGAAAGAACAAAGACTCAAAATTAATGTCTTAATTTCAATGTAAATGATTACGTTAATGCAATATGAAAAGTTGTCTACTTCTTCTTCCATTATCACTGAAGAAAAAGTGCAGTGCTGGTAGTGAATCACAACATCAACAGCTTGAGAGAAAATTACCCATTACCTGAAGTACAAGTTGAGCATTCTTGATCACCTAGCAAGTAAAATGTCCCACTAAAATGACCTATTACTTTGAATATATCAATTTTAAACCATATTATTCTGTGAAAATCTCAATGTGCTACAAATATGTCTTTATGATTTTTTTGAAAAATACCCTCAATACCCCTAGGGACAACAGTTACTCACCTTATTCAGTTCTGCCATTTTTATTCAGAAATAATGGAAGAAGTAGTAGACAAGTTTTTATAAGGCCTCAAATAGGTTACAAAAATGTCTTACAGCTCTTAGACTATAATTTTTGATAGGACACATGTAATAGATTCCATACCTTGAGGTTCAATAATGTCTTGTATCAAACTCTCATCTTTTTGTAAGCTTTCAGCTTGGGCTTCAGTATCATTTTAACTTTGCAAACATGTGTTGACCAAATCTATTCTTTTCCTCTTGACATATGCTCCTCGAGAAAGTCCAGCATCAGACAGTGGTCTTTTACGATCTTCTTGACAATGAAATTTTGTTGGCACAGCATCTTCTGTCAAAAGTATCTTCTTGCTGAAACCCATTTTGTACTGCATGTAGTTAATGGTGTCTTTTTCCATCTGCAATTTAACATAACTATCACTATCTAATAAGCAAAGTAGGTAAAATGACACAGCATAGAAAATTATTGAGATATGTAGGTAGCTAATATAAACAAAACAACAGAAAACATTTTGAAACCCTACAGAGTAATAAGTTTAGGGTTAATAAACAGGATCTTTGATCCTCAACACTGACTTATCCTCAACATAACCAAAGATACATTTGAGGTTATAGATAGTTATATATGATTTCAATCTTAAAAAAGCGGCAATTTAAGCTACCTAGTAGATAACATATTCAATTTATACTTACATCGAAGTGATCTTCACACATAAATACATTTGAAGTCGATGAAATGCCCTTTGGGTCTCTCCGAGCTAATAGTAACCACTTTTTTCGTCTTTTACAATCGGTTGGAACAGAAACAAACAATGTTTGTGGACTATTTATACACGTATTCGTACATTTTGGCACTACACACCATTTATAGACCATTTTATCTATGATTTTATAGCAAAATCAAGCACAATAATGAAATTAACTTCGGCTGACAGCTCGTGATCGTGTTTACTGGCGTGTGACGTCACAGACGTCATCTGCCGGCGCCATCACAGGAATAGCGTTTTTGGCGCGGTTCTAAAAATTCAAACTTCAAATTTGATTTCTATTAAAAATAGTATAGATTTTCAGGAAATATTCATGTAGTGTGCTCATTATAAAGGGTTGTCCAATAGGCACGCAGGAAAGTAAACGTGAATTTGACATAGACGCCATCTTTGTTTTCTGTCACCGACATGTAATTTTGTTAGTTGAATGTTTACCATTGATCACTATGGAGTCGTATTCGATTGAAGACCGCATTAAAGTTATTCAAGAGCACTACCAAAATGGTTCAAAAATAAAAAACAAGTTTTGCGCGCTTCGTGAACATTTCGGTCGCAACAACCGCCCAAACGAAACAACCATCGGTCGTCTGATGCGTAAATTCGAGGCAACAGGTTCTGTGGCAAATCTGCCAGGCTCTGGCCGGCCAAGGAGCGTTCGCGCACCGGAAAATATTGCTGTTGTGAAGGAGAGTGTGAGAGACGATCCGAAACAATCAACAACGCGTCGATCCCAAGAATTGGGCATTTCGAGAACCAGTTTGCTCCGCATTCTCCACAAGGATTTGAATGTACACGCCTACAAGATCCAATTGACGCAAGAGCTGCGTCGGGCCGACCATTTTTCGCGCCGAACGTTCTCAGATTGGCTCCTTGAACACCACCAAATTGACGCCAATTTTTCATCAAAAATCATGTTCAGCGACGAAGCGCATTTCACTTTGAATGGGACGGTAAACAAGCAAAACTGCCGCATCTGGGAGAAAGAAAATCCCCGTGAGTATCAAGAGCAGCCGATGCATCCTCAAAAAGTGACTGTGTGGTGTGCATTGTGGTCAAAAGGCATCATCGGACCTTACTTTTTCGAAAATGCGGCCGGGGACGCCGTTACCGTCAATTCTGAGCGATATCACGTGATGATAGAGGACTATTTTTTGCCGCAACTTGAAGGAATGGATATGGATGATGTTTATTTCCAACAAGACGGTGCAACATGCCACACAACCAACGTCAATATCCATCGATTGCAGTCCTTCTTCGGTGATCGCGTGATTTCGCGCAGAGGAAATGTGCCATGGCCACCAAGATCGGGCGATTTGACTCCCTTGGACTTCTTTTTATGGGGATATTTGAAAAGCAAAGTCTACGTCAACAAACCAGCCACCCTCCAAGAACTCAAAAACAACATCATTGCCGAGATAGATGCCATAGAACCGACCATGTTGCAAAATGTCATTGAAAATTTCGATCATCGCGTGGACGTCTGTAAATCCAGTCGTGGTGAACATTTGAGCGATATTATTTTTCATACTTAAATGGTATAAATGAACCTTCAAAATAAAGTACCCAACTTGATTTGAATATCAATCTTTCTTGTTTTAATATGCGTTTACTTTCCTGCGTCCGTTTTGGACAACCCCATATATAAAAGAATAATTTAAAATGATTTTGCGAAATTAGTCAAATAGCCTATTGGAGGGACGACTGACGATACGGGCCTTAATCACAAAAGGAAAAGCGTTTTATGCTTTGGGGTTCTTGGAGAGCTTTATCGCCAAAGTCTTCTGCTGAATAGGCCAGTGGGTTACAAGAAAGTTTTTAGAGACTTGTCAATGCCGTCAGCTGATATCAGTAGAATCATACGAATTACTGCAGCTGAGAGAGTAGAGTCAAAATGTATGCTTTGAAATAACCAGAAAACTGAATGACGTACAAAAACGAAGCTTTAAGGTGTTTCCACATTCATAAAAAAAATCAATATGTTTATAACATTTCATTTGACAGGAAATACAAAATGAATGTATCAGCCCACTCTCCGGTGAAAACAGATTATCTAAGAGGTTTATCCGAATTCAATTTCTCATGTTCGGGCATAAAAAGTCTCTTTCGGATAAAAAAAGGTTCCCTTTAACTACGCGTTTTCTGCCACCAGTCTAGTTTCAAAGGGAGATTTTCACGAATCATCGTACTCTAAGAGGAGGAGGGATGTGCTCATGTTTTTATCTTGATGGATCCTACCATTAACGTTCTAGTAAAGTGACGCTGGGGGTTTATTTTCGTTATTCCTGAAAACTTCTGAAAACAAGATATTATGTTTTAGTAGTAATAGTAAAAATCTCATAAACTTTGTTTTTTGACGTTTCAGATATTCCTTCCCAATCCCAAAAATCCTTTGAACGAGTAAAATTTGGGAGTTAGTGGTTTTAGGGAGGAGTTGTAAGCGTTGCATCTCTGGTATCAGTGAAAGCTGTTGTATTATTGAGAAGCTCCTGATCCCGGTAATTCTACGCAGCTGTTAAATAGAGTTTTCATACATTTTGTTGAATTAGAACGTTAATAAGTTCAAATTGCATCAATTTATTGAATACTATGTTTACCGCTACAGATTAACACGTGTTGAATCGCTTCTGCGATTGCTCGATGAACAGTGTCTAGTCTGACTTACCTGATTGCTAGACCAGCACCACTCGCCCATATCCGTTGATGTAGATTGTAGGATATCTATGGGATATCCATATCGTCTCTGGTCACGGGATCAGACAAAGTAACATGCGCTTATGCATTGCAGAACCTAGCCAGGTTTTTTCAGACTTGTTCTTCTTCTAGTTCTAGACTAAGTATGTGTAATCTTGCAAATAAACATGGTATCTTGTGCCCTAATGATGTGCTATATATGAACTATAAGGTGTGGATACCAAGACATCTTCAGACATAACATTCCACAGGTTAGCATCTAATGCAGGACCGAACTAAGGCTCTTTTAATTACTAGATTGCTGGTCATGTATACAGAGAAACGAGAAACTTAAGCCAGACGACTGTCAACATGATGCATGGAGGTGGAGTACCAGTTTTGAACAGTTGTTGCAAATTAAGAAGTCACATATGATTTTCGCTACTGAAAAATGCTATTTCCAAGACATTTGTCACGTATTTTCAAACCAAAGCAATTTTTTGAAAACAGTGAACAGCAAAATACCGAGTCTCAAAATTACTGATAGAATTCTTTGTTTTGAAAAGTCCGATCATGCTAGGAAGTGATGCAGGAAAGACTACTCCAGTGATGCATGGTAAGGCTGATCCGTTGGCTTCCAGACCAACAAGATGTTTCCAAGGAATATCCTAAAAAGCAAAAAAAGGTCTGAAAAGCTATTTTATATAGCATTAATGCAGTGCGTCAGTTGCGCCATATTGGCGGCAAATTTCCATTGACCGAAAGTCATAAAAAATAAAATGAGTGACGATGGAGGGCCTTCTTCAACTAACTATGCATAGGTAAGTTGCGTATCTATACATCTGAGATGGTCGTTTTATTTTCTACAAAAGTGCTTTTCCTAGTTTAATGAAAAACTCAACGGCTTTCGAGTTATTTTGAAAATTTCTTTGAAGACGCTTTTTTCTAATTGCAAAGATACATAGGTATTTAACAATGTTGTCGCAAAGTGAAAGATATGTTTATAACTTTAATCTGCATCATTGGACGTAAACGTTTAGGTTGTTCGCATCCATTGAGTCAAAATCGTTCGAGGCATATCAAGTAAAGCTTGTTGCCGCATAGAGGAACTTTTGACTGAGGCAGCTTCAGCTGTCTCTCACTGCATGCCTCTCAGGTAAATACGGCTTTGTCAGTTAATGCACCATCACCTTCTCACAGGTTTTTCGAATGATTTGTTATAGAAGCCCAAATACACAGGGCCTCATTATTGTATCTTGAATAATTTTTTCATAAGACGAAATGACATGTTGCCTTTGAAGTGTTATTTGCTGCATGGGGGATCCGTACATAGTGCGCATGCATCATTAATATTCGACGATTGCGTAACATATGCCAATGGCATGTGCGAGCAGTAAAAAGAAAAGAGGTCTATCACGAGAGCATACATTAATTTTACATTTTTTGAATTGTGTTTTGGAGGAGTAGCCACAAGATTAGTGAAGAAATTTCGTTCAAGTTCCATTCTTTCAGGCCCGAACAATATGGAAATCGATCAGAGAGACAGCCACAAGATAAGTTCCAGGAGTTGCATTAACGAATTCCCTATTCACGTCGATTCTGGAATATTCCAGTAAGATATCTATTTTCCTACTAAGCCTGACAAACTGCTGCACTGGCTCAAACCTCAGATCGTCGTTTTAAAACGTCGCATATATTGATTATGACGATTTGGAGCTCCTTATCTCTTTTATGTTAAAAGCGGTCCAATCGCCCTAACGTAATAGCATGAGGCAGATAATAAAAAAGAACGGGTAGCGGCCCTTATGTGAACAAAGTCGAAATGGTCTTTTCAAGTGTGCGTGGTCTATAGGCACAGTTCAACTCAGTGATTTTGATGGAAGCTTGTTGGAGAGACATTCGTAATTCAGGTAAAAAATAACGTCTTTATTCTTCAGGTAAAAGAAATATTTACTTTATTTTTAGATACTGCGATACATCAATTTTTAGTAACGTCATTATTATTTTTGGTGAAGTAATGTTGATGGCACGTTGAACATACTTGTTAATCAGTACTATGATGAATAACGTTCACTGTCAGCGAGACAGCACCAGCGCGCCCACAGTGTGCGTCATTGTAGTGTAAACTGGAACGGTAGCTGTCACATAAGAAAAACAAATGAAAGATATGACGTTCTCTGGAATCCATTCTTGAAAACTAGAATAACCAGTAGAAAGTGATGTTCTACTACCATTGCTGACAACTTTCTACGTCTGTTTCTCTGATAGATTTGCGAATGCATTCATTTTCGGAAAAATAAGATGTTTTTATATTCTTTATAATTAAACGTTTCATCACATCAAGTTAACTCCGTATTGACAGATGAGACTCACGGCCGACGGCAGGAGTTCAGCACATTTTCACCCACGAATGTCTCCTGGAACGAGTCTTCTGTCAGTATTTAGGCCGTATCGTTATTCGTTCCTACAATTGTAGGACGCCTTTATGGCCTCCTTGATTTTCCAAGCATTTTCTCTCCTTCAGAAAGGCTGAGGTATCTCTAGATTTCTACTGTTCAGCGCTCTCCTAGTTATCTTTTCTTTTTAATAAATTGTAGGTAACTTCAGGCTGATAAAACACGCCATAAATGTCGAAAGCATGAAGAATTTGATGTAAATAGATAT